AGGGGAATTTTATGGCTGCAGGAAAAGTTGCTGTGAGCTTTGAGTACCAGTGCTGGATCACACTTCGAGAGCTAGCATCTCACCAGGTTACTCAGAGTGTGGCACTAAAAGCTGGTAAAGGTGAACAGTTGCAAGTCACTCTTTTTGGCAAGTGGCTTTATGGCTTAACCATATTTTTTTTTCCTACTGTTAATAAATTACAGAAAAAAAAACTTGCTGTGAAAACTAAAATACATTCACTTCAATTTCCTAGATCTTTAGAAGGTAAGGACACACATGAATTCTAGTTCAGCAAAACTAAACACGATTAAGCCAATGAGGATGAATTTTAAAAGTCCAACTTAATAGATATTAGCATGCATAGACTAAATAGTTTTGCGCTTCTAACATACATTTAACACTTTATTAAGCACTGTATATGAACTTTATAAACCCTCTGGGTGCCTGTAATTTAGTCGGTCAATGAAAGAAATGCATATGATCCCACTAACAAATAATGCAGGAGAGTGTGACTAGTGTTATACCCAGGTCAATACCAAGCCATTGCTAGTAAATGAATTTATATTTAGAATTTAGTGGAGAGCCATGTTAATGCTTAAATCCCAAACCATTACAGCAGCTCATATTTGTCATGCACTAACAGATCAATTTCAGAATTACTGCTATTTTTTAAACCACTGAGAAGAGAAATTCTTGAATCTGTCCCCAGATCAAAATATGTCTAGAAATACCCATTTCTGATGAATGTAGACCCAATAAATGATATTTTTAGCAACCATAATTTCTACAGCTGTGGGCTGAGACTCATGGGTAACCTGTTTTCCAGTTCAAAGCAAAGGAGAAGTTTAAAATTGGAATCTTCTAATACATCTTGATCAATCAAGATGACATAGTCCAAGTATATTCAATACATTTTCCTCTGATATATCATAATTGGATTTGCTGATAAAATTTCCTTGTCCCTGGTCTTTTCCTGTGTAACAAAGGAATTATTCAAGTAATTCAGGCAAATCCTTCCCACTCCTGTATCACTCCAGTAACATTTTAAATAACCAAGATGAATCAGACAAAATCAAGTTTTTTTAAAGCATAATTATTCAGATAATTATCTCAACCCTCCATTTCACTTTGCCTATGAGGATAAGGCCTTAAAAGCCCTTCTAGCCAGAAACATCACTAAGAAAATATGTGCAAGACCCAAGAAGTCACAGATTTTCACCCCAAGGCTCCCTAGCAGTCTAATGTAGATGAATACTTAACTTATGAAACTAGTAATCTGGAGGTTATTCATTTAGTTTAGTTTTAGAAGTCTATTTTCCTGTTTTAAAAGTATTCATATTAAGATTTAAGATAAAGTGAATTCCTTCTGTGTATTTATGATGATCTGATTTACACACAAGTTCTTAAGAACTGTATGGGTTAAAATAGAACATTACTTTGAATAGCTGTTTATTCCACAATTTCTGCTAAAACACCTTCTCCTGCTTGAATTATCTATATAGCTCAAAAGGAAGCTGGACTAGGGTTAAACCCTGACAGCCACCCCATCCCTACTGATTCCTCAAAAGATTCCCAATTCTCCCCCTTACAGTGTGCTGAAAGAGAAAACAGTGCCATATAAAATTACCCTCTTAGGTACTCTTCCGCATCTCCATAATCAAGAATCACTGTGAACAACTTGCAAATTTACATTCCAAAACCCAGTGGCACAGCTATCAATAGGACCGCATTCCTCCTCAACCTTTGTCTTTTTCTTTAAAACAGGAAAACCTTATGTTAATGGAGAGATTATTCAAAGAGTCTCCTTGTAAGCCCATGAATGCCACTTCACAGACTACAGAAAGCAGAGCTCTATGAACGGTACAATGGAGTCAACTCATCTTTTTTAAAAGCTCAGCGTCAGCCTTAGAGAGAACTTAAATTGTTCCAATTCCTAAGTCTTTGTTAAAACATGAGTCCAATGCACAAACACACTCAGAGGCAAGTTTACCCAGAGGGTAGGCATGTTGACAATCAGGACTTAACCTTGACACTGGATTCTAAAATTTATTTATTCAAACTATTCAATAAGACCATCTGCACGTTCTTAAGTATTTTCCTCTCACTGACTTATCTAAAGCAAATGCCTTTAAAATAAAACACCTAAGCAAATACCAGACTCATATAAAATATAATCTTAGAAATTAAAATATAGCAAAAAGCCAAATATAAATTAAAGGATCTCTGTAGACTCACAATATCTTGTTAATTGTGTTAAAAGAGGTGGGGGCGGGGGGGGGCAACTGGAGAAAGGAATGCTTACTAAAAAACTTAAAAAGTTGGGGAATGAGTTATTGAAAAGAATATTCTGTTTAACCAAGATATGGCAAACCACTCAAAATTAAAATTTTTAACAGTATTCCTGAGTTGCACAACCCCAGGGTCACTCTAAGATTCATGAGTGAATCTCTAAATTATTGCTGTGAAACACCATTTTAGGACATATAAAATGTCTAGATATTGTAAAAAACTTAAAAAGTTGGGGAATGAGTTATTGAAAAGAATATTCTGTTTAACCAAGATATGGCAAACCACTCAAAATTAAAATTTTTAACAGTATTCCTGAGTTGCACAACCCCAGGGTCACTCTAAGATTCATGAGTGAATCTCTAAATTATTGCTGTGAAACACCATTTTAGGACATATAAAATGTCTAGATATTGATTCACTCTGTTTCAAATTCTGGAGTCTACCAATTAATTTCTTTTACTGGAATGAGCTGATTATAAATTTGTATTTGGAATAAGCCCTTTACTAAACAGGCTGAAGGCACTGAAATTAGATCCTCTTTAGTTTTTTAAATTATGTAAATGGAATAACATGTTTAACAGAAAGGGCATGTTTATATATCTTCTAGAGGTGGCCAGGTGTTAAATCTACTGCTTCCCCAGCACTAGTTTTTATTGTATGTGGGCTAAGGCTTTAAGGAAGCCAGTTACAGATCAGCAAAGTAATTTTATTTTTAATCAAGGAAAGAAAATAACTTCATTTCATCAGAAAGAAAACAGAGGAGGCACAACAAAACACCTCTGATAATAGTTTTTCAAAAACAAATTGAAACATTTTTTTATATTAATATGTGCAAAGACTTTTAAGAGCTCAGACCTCCCGGAATAAGGGAATTGCTAGAAAGTTACTTGGAATCACCCACAGACAATAACTGTCCGTGGTTTCATTTCAGGCAATGGACTTGTGCCAAAAGGGACTGACATCTTGATGAAAGGATCACCAAAAAGTTGTAAGAATTTTTCCATGAGTAAAAATCCTTCCAAGAGCAACAAATTGTGATTTCTCATTCTGCCACCATACATAAACGGCAACTGTAAAAAATTAACATGTAATGATAATTTGAATTTGCTCTTCTGCATTCAAATTGTTCCAACTTTCATCATTCTCAGCTTTGGCAGATATGCTTGTTTTCCGCAAAGCTCGTTCCACTCACTACTATAGAAACATGGTATTTACTCTCTGAGCTTGATCTAAAGAGCTAGTTTTGGCAGGGTCTGTGGTCAAATTTATGGTCAGCCAAAGTGGTCACCTGACATACTACAACATACATGGACCTTCATGATCTATGTATGTTGTAGTATGACACAGAGAGTAAGGTTCTGGGATACAGAGCTAGAAGGCAAGGTGATGTGGCCCATCTCAAGAAAAGATAATTAAATAAAAATACCTTGTAGCACTTTATTTTGTTACCATCCTGGTACTCTATATAACAATGGCTAATTAGGAATTTAAAACGAAGTTAGGAACCATTTATACAAAACTCATGGATCAGTTTAATTTTTTGTTCATCCCATTTGTTCTTCAACCACAAGTTCCTCAGTTTGATTATTATGAAATTCTGAACAACAGCTATTTTATTTGGTGCTTCATAACCCACCTGTTGAAATGACAGGTGAGGAATACACAAAAAATAAAGAGTCTACTTGTTAATAGGATTCAAACTGAACTCATTTAATTGCTTCTGATTCATTTTTCTACTTGGAAGCTTATACTTGGGTTGTTCTCAAAGAAAACATCAAGTATATCAGATTCAATTGATTCATTAAATTCCACCCTCGTTTAAAAAAAGGAAAAACTAAAACTAAATTTGGAAATTACACATTCTAAGTGACAAAGAGGTGTTTTAAAGAGTATAAACATCTGCAGTAGGACATGCTGTACTTATCTGAAAAGTTTCATGACATTTCTATTTTTTTAGTTCAACTTTTTTCCAAAGAGGAAATTTTTTCATAGAAGATTAATATACTCAGCTGTATTTAATGTGTATTTCATCTATTCTTTATTTAATCAGGCATCAAACACTAAACTGCTTTTTCTGTAGATCATAATGTCTGTCAGAAATAGTTACATTTTCATTTAGAGGAAAACATGCGTGGCTTCTAAAACTGAGCAGATGTCTCTCATAAACGAAGGTTATAAACCAACAAAAAATAATGCTAATTATAACGGAGATACAACTGACAGTGTATTACTATAAAAGTCCATGTTCTTCATATACTGTTCTTAAGGATAGCAGTTACTATAGCAATTTGATTAGCTGGACACAGACCCCTACTTTTTGGGTAAGTTCTGGCTATCACTAATACAAGACCCACTGCTTTGTCTGAGCCTTACTGCTGTCACCCTTTCCATGCAAGTCACAACACATCACTCTTCTTAAAGAACAGAATGGTTTCTGTTGTTTGAGTTAAATAAATCTTCACTTCTGAAAAAGGAATTTCAGTGTTCTATTCAAAATGATTGGAAAAATCAAAAGATCTAATTCACCACATCCAATTCATATAAATTACTATACTGCAAAGCTCCCACATGCTGGAGATAGAACCATTTAAAGGTCACATGGTGTAGGAACAATGAAGGTTTGAGGTGAGACGAAGGTGGGTCATTGATATTTATACGAATAAAGACTTTTAAGAAGCTACTGAGAATCTCCTCTGATGACCAATTCTTACCATTTTGAGAATCATAACAGTCTTGGCCTTGTACCCTCCCTTCTTCAGTCCAGGGAGACCAACCTGCAAAATATGTTTAAATACAGTAGACAAATTGCCTCACCACAGGTCAGCAAATGAAAAACGCCTGCTTAGAGCTTACAGATAAATAACCATTTTCTGTGGTTAAGTTACATGCAAATTATTGTTACCACTGGGGCTTCTGAAAGAGCTTTGCAAGAGGTCTATATGGTTAAACGGGGGGACAAAGGAATCGTTGGTACCTGGCTTCGCAGAGTCCTGGGCTATTCTTAGCAATCGGTTCATTTTTAAATTGCAGTTCAAAAGGTTTAGCAACTTAAAAGTGGAACCAAGGGATAAAAATAGATTGTTTTCTGGCTGCTCTTTGTTCCCAGACATACTACTGGCAGTATATTTGCAATCAAGACAGCAGAATAGGAATCAGCCTTCCACCCGTGTAGTGTAATGCCTCAGAGTGGATATTTTTGGAAATGGCACTGCATTACATAACCTTCCGTGTTAAAAAAAAAAAAAAAAAAAAAACACACATACACCATTATGTCCTTCTCCCTAAACCAAATCAACATTAATGTGCATGCTGCAGTGATTTTCCCCTCAACCTTTAAGTCAACAGAACACAGTTCTTTTGTTAAGACAAAAATTAAGATGAATGGAGAAACTAAAAGTTCTCTAAAAGGGTATCATAAGCTCTTAGAGTTTTCCTGTAATGTTATCATATATACATATAAGTGCAAATCATATTATCATCATCAAGCAAAAAGCATTTATTTTTAAGCCCTCCCTTCCTCCCACAAAGTTCAACTGCTTTATAAGAAAAGGTAGAAAAAAAGTGTTGCAAGATCAAATGCCCGAAAAGACCCTTGGCGGCAGCAGCAGCGTAGAAAGAGTAATAAATAGTGTGAGGATGAAGGACACAAATTCATTTGATAAAGGGGGGGGGGGGCGCATGCCCAAAAGTGAATTTAATGCAAAGAAACAAAACAGTTCCTAACAATGCTTTACGAGCACGAAGAACAAAAATTAACCGCACCAACAGGCAGAAAACCCCACCCCTTCTCCCAAAGAATTCTCCCTCTTAACTTGTA